GTCTGACTCAGAAACTTTGAAGGCAGTATGTTACAGGCGGATTATATGTATGCGAAAGTTCATATTGCGAAGTACAGACAGGCAGGACTACTAGATCGTAAATAGACCAAACTACTGGAGTATGGTTAATTTCTACATTTCTACACGAGATCTAACACTCTAGCACAATTAACGGGACCAAGCGTATCCTGTATGTTGATTAAGTGTTGTCCTACTAGTATTCTACGTACATGTATGTTATGTTCATGTTTGTAAAGACAAGTACACCATTTATTCTCTTGCTAGGGTGACCCGTACTTTTGCACAATGTGTTGCAGGTGAAAATGCGTTCAGCTGATTTGGGAAGAGCGCCTTGCTAACGCTATGTGGCTTCCGTGGCGGGTTCATGTGGCGAACAAAGGTTATGTCCCGGTTAAGATAAATTCTCCTCCGCCAATGCTACTAAATTTTGAAGAAAAACGGCACAAATATGTCCGACCCGGCTAAACACGTCATGATTCAGGCTCCGCTGGTCCTGTGGAGTGTACAGTGGAGATAGTCTCGATAGCAGGCTCCGCAGAAAACGTCTTGATGTTACCGTTTTTGTGTGGTTTACGTGCTGTTTTCTGGCTGCTTATGGCCCACTAGAAAACGGTAGCAATCAGAAAATAGTAAGTACTAGTATTATACATGGGCCTCCAACAACGTGTATCAAAACGTCAGTCGGGGAGCCTGCTGAGGGGGGGGGGGTAAGCTACAGTAGAGCCTGCACACGCGGCAAGACCAGCAAACTTCCAGCGTGGTACCAGGTAATACTAGTCTCCATCAAAGTTGCTGAGAAATGAGCAGAAATTGGCTAAATGGAGTGGCTAATTTTCCACGGCTGCAAATCTGTTACCGTATGACCATGCAGCGAGCTAACAAATTATTCACCCCATTTGGACAATTATTACTTTTACTTTCTTCCCAGCAACCGAAGTCTTACTCTTAGGAAACTCCTTGAGAAGACAAGCGCCGGGAAGACGTGGGTGGCAAATGAGATCCCAGAGGAAATGGGTCAGCACGAGTATGTGTACCGGAGCTCCCGTTAATAAAGGTGGTGCCACGCGGTCCTGTACATTGTTCAAGGTGTAGCAACACGATCCACTCGCTCGTTAGTCTGCACCCGACTCGTTCTTAAAAACTATTCTATCAGAAAGGATATCAAAGTTGCCTCCCTACAGAATCATCCGGCACCAAAGTGAAGAAAATGCATGAAATAAATTATGCAGGTGACCTTTATTGCCTTAAGTTATATAATCAAATATGTTGACCACTCAAGCAAGAACTTCAAGAAAATGGTCACAAGTGGCATCTACAGGCGCATCTACAGACAGGATTCTTAATACTTGGGTCAACGGCATGCATAAGTGGCGACAAGGCTAACTCGAAAAGTACGTAATGTTAACGTTTATTTGTTTGTTTGTTTCTTGATTTTATTGAGGTTGCCATTAGTGCTATATAGTGAACACTGTTCTTCCTGGGGTCCAACATAGAACACAATGAAAAAATTATAAGTTGAGTATACAGAAAACTAACTCAGAGAACTTTAACAGTGAGCAAGACAGGTCAGAGATGGACACAGAGGAAAGGGGCCACACATGGAAAATGCCATGCCATGAAGGAAGAGCAGGTTTGGAACAAGGCATATTTCTGCTTAACGGTGGTGACGGACATTTGTGCAGTTACCTTAATGTTTTGCCTATGAAATAGACTGAAAACATAGTTGTCTTCGTAGCTTGTGGAGAAACGTAGTTCTCTTCGAAACTTGAGAAGAGATCTCAGCACTTTTTAGGCAATGAGCCGTTATATTTATTGACCTCTTTGCAGATTCAAGGGAATTCTTCCACAAACCACCTTTGTGCTACAGAAAAAACGCAGACTTGGATGTACGAGCCCACTGTCAACACACAGGTTCAACCACACCCAGAGGTACTTAATTACAGTGGATTACTCCAGGTCGGGTAGATGGGTTCCAAACAGTGAGGTGCCTTTCACTGAGCAACAACAGACCTTTCACAACAGCGTAACCGAAGCAACTGTTTGTTATGTGATTTTGTAATACTAGTACCACGTGTCAGGACATCTATCTATGGATTTATTACGACTGTATGTTATGAATGACTGAATGTATATTATAATATGGATTTGTTAGGACTTCAACCATGTAACCTGTATCTTGTTATACTTTGTCTGACCCTGAACTCTTCCCTCATAACCTAAAAGGAAAGCTGTCAGCAGGCCGATTTATTTCATGAACAAAGACTCAAACAAACAAACAAACAAACAAACAGCCTTGGAAAAACACAAACACATGGGTAAACTTGTGGGTGTGAACACTTATAAGGGTACAGTATGTAATGTATTTTGGATTGTATGACTTTTTGTACATAATAGTCTATGTACATGTACATGTATATCTGTCTATGTTAGCAATGCTAGTGCATACTAGTATATACTACTAGTCATAACTTAAATGCCTTGCTATTACTATGGTTGAACCATCTGCCTTTGTGTATCTATATTTGCTAAAGACTTTACTAAATTCTTTATACTTCTGTTGTGCCAGTAACATGTATAGTACATTTGTACTTGTACTGAAATTTTAAAAATGCTTGCCTTTAGCTTTGTACATGTACATATATTCTTGATATAAATTGTGCAGCTTGTTATGCTATCAATTTGAACAGCAAACCATCAACATCACAACCTACATCCTTTTAAAATGCACTTAACGATTTGAGGAATGCAAGGTTGGGGTTAGAGGGTTATGAACATGGAAGGCTAGTTGAGTAACCAACCAACCAACCACCCACTCATTCACTATCACTGGAAAGTGAAAAGAGTTTTAATGCCTTTAACTGCCTGTAACTACCGATGGGACTGCCTCGAAACTTACAGAATGATTTTCAGTAAGACAGGTCTGTGGTTAGGTGTGCATGGATCACAGATTGGGTAGGCAGCCACCCACTTCACTGGAAAGTGAAAATAGTTCTTGCTTTCCAGCACCTGTTGCAGACCGAGGGGCGTTTGTGCTCGCATGGCTGAATTTGTTTCTGTGATCAACGTTGTTATGAAAATCGACCTCTCCATTAAAGTCGACCCCTCAGTTCCGCAAACCGAGCTTGCGTGTGGCAGGCTGCCGCTCACACATGCAGGCGGTGATTAGGGCTGGGTAAAGTGAGACTTATATGCCCCCTGGCCATAATGAGACTCGAGAGGTCTAAGTATACGTGTGTACGGACATAGCTCAGCCTGTGTGATCATGCCTCCCATATGTCGACGTTTGGTGCTGTAAACTAGCCGTATCCCTGCACCAGCCTGCAGGATCCTGTGTCGCATGTTGGGGATTTAGCGGACGATAATAGTGGGCACACTAAGCCATGTTGGGCCCTGCAGAATCATGTGAGTTCATGTCTGCTGGGTCCTGTGGATAATTGGCAGGAGTATCAGGAGGTTGGCCTGAGGAAAGAGAAGCACAACTGTTCAACAAACTTTCAACAACTTCTCAGGGCTGGGCCTGATTACCGAGGGAAGACAAAGCATGTCATGTGCCAACTTCTTTTGCTTCTGTCCGCTTTCAACAGGAACAGAACAACAGTTAGAGCTTGCTCCACAAAACAGATTGCACATCCAAGATAGGTCCATCCTTCAAGAAAACAATTCGAGTAAATCTTGATGATAAGCAGTTCCTAAACAAAGTCTGCCATTTAAACCCCCACAGTACTTGATAAGATGGATCAAAGGGGCCTAACCTGTTGTCATGGTGACTTACAGAATCTATGACTGTTGCCAGGGTGATCTGAGTTGTCATGGCAACCTGATAGAACACTTCGTTGTTGTCCTAGTAACCCATCCAAACCTGTAACCATCGCTAAAGTTATCTGATAGACCTTATGAATGCATGTTATCATTATGTGCAGCTCTCGGTATTGACCTAAATCATTGGCATGCTGAGAAAATCTCCCTAACTTCAGTTCATGGCACAAAACCAAAGACGGTCCCGGGGGGAAACCAGCAATTTGTTCAGCTCTGGGCCGTGACAGGAAGTTTCCTGTCATCAGCACGTGTCCATGATGCGGGCTGGCGGGGAGGGGGGCAGGGTGTTCTCAGGATCAGTGCTAAACCCTGTATTATGTTTCCATGTTTACTACATCTGCTCCACTTACAGTGGAACTGGACGGACAAATTCCCCATCAGCACTGTTTTGGGACACCGAGAAGTCCTGAATCATACCGGTAATGGTCCGGTTGGATTGGGCCCAGCTGGATGTATATAGATGTGCCCATGCGTGTGTCCAGCACCAGTAATGCACCAGGACCACACACCCATCAGGACTGCCCCGGGGAGTTTGGGTGGACTTTTAAAGTTCAAGGCAACATAGAGAGCTCAAATGTGCAGAAATAAACTTCACCTTGTCCTGTCAGAGATGTTTTGTAAGAACATTACATCCCACTTTGACTAAAATCACAACAAACAATAGCATCAGCCAGAAGGCCCAGAACTGACCACTTTTCAGGGGAAAACAAACCAGCATGGGTACTGTGGAGTCTCATGCAGCCAACTCATAACACTGGTAAAACATTTTTTGATCTGAAAATTACTTCAATCTTTTCTTTCCTTTCGCCCTCTACCTGCTGAGGACAAGTTGAATTGGGTAGGTAAGGTTCCAATGAACTCATGACCCCTTGCAACAGAACCATGTGGCTCAAGTCTTCTCCAGTTTACAAAAGGTGGGAAATATAAAACTGCTGCAGTCCAGCTCCGAGCAGCAGACACGAGAACTCAACCTGCGTAGACTTTCTTCTCACAGCAACGGGTGGGTGGAGGTGTGCCTTTGCTGACACCAAGCTCATCAAGTACCGGATTTACTGTGGGTTCACCATGAAACATTGACACATTCAAACACAACACAAACCTGAAAACTCAAAACAGGGCATCAAAATAAGGGAATGTTTGGAGACTGCACTTCTGATTCTAGATACACATTTTACTGTTTAATAAAACACAGGTATGCCCACATCTGTTGTACAAGTTCTTACCGGGTGAAATCACCACAATTGTTTTGGGTTTTACAGGGCCCTAGCCTAGCCATATAAGGAGATGAATGAAATTCCGAGACAGTTACGTTTAACTTAGTAATGTTACAAAAGCGTAAATGTCATATTTGAGGTACATATTTCATATGGAAGATCATTACGTTTTCTTTTAATGATGTATTTAATGTGCATTGTGACTCTACAGAATGATGTAAAAGAAAAAATGCAATACAAAAATGTTGACTAACATTCTTGTTTCACATTTCCCCTGACAAAATGTGTACTAGATTTCTTAAGTGTGTAACTGTGGCTTGCATGTATTCCCTACAATCATGCAAAAGTTAATTGAAGTTGGGAACTAAAAATTTTCTAATTTTGCAACTCTGGGCAGCAAGACTCCTCCACATACATTCAAAAATAAAAGTAACCCTACAATGCACTTGTTACCACTGACTACACCAATGTCTTCAGAAATGCACAAGTATTCATAAAGAAACATAACACAAACATTTTCTAACCAAACAGTACTGACGTTGATACATGTATATTCACTACCATGCCCTGCTAATTAGACAATAATAGTCCATAGCAAGTATGTATCCTTTATCACATTTTGTATAATTGTTGCATACTTCTTCTAGCTGAATTATAGTATCTACATCTTCACTTGATGCATGTCCAAGCTGCTGTCGTAAAAGTTGACTTGGAACACTCTCCTCTTCTTAGCATAACTGCAAACTAAAGACACAAACAAGGTGGGTCAGAAGTATGAAATAGTAAGTACAGTTCTTGCTACATGTCATCAGTTCAAATTTAGCACCATTAAAATCTGGACCTCGAACACTTGCTTTTCTTGTCAACTTTCCAGCATTCCCATGCAAATTGATGGTATCTCATCTTAGCGAGTAAATCTTGTCATGTATGTGGGCTTCATATTTTTTTTCAGCTTGAGGACTCCTAGCAGTATCTGAGTCATTGAAAGGCCCTTTAACCGGGAACTTAGACCACTACAAAACCCTCCTTTCTCCCTTCTATTGCAAACATGAATGAGTTCACAGTACTTACCATTCTGCATGTTCTTCAGCTGCAGCGTCAGAAAAACTTAGTTCTCTTGAGCGCCCGTTCCGCGTAGGAATCTCCGCCCGTCATGCGCTCCCAGTCCTCCTGGGTCTGGCCTACCACAAACCCCATGGCTCGCTTCTTCTCCTGGTCTCGCCGCTCCTCAATGTCCGCCCAGCGCACCTACAGGACAGCAGGGTAAAGTGTAGTGTTTCAGCCTTTATCTTTGGTCATGCAAGACTCAGGTTATTCATTCTGTCACCTCTATTGTAAATTTTCTGTCGTAAAACTGGTCGCCATCAGGATGCCTGTTCCTGCTGCATTCATACATGCATGCGAGTGCATGTACGTGCACACACACACACGCATGCATGCACACACACACACACACACACCACCACCACCACCACCCTGTCTCACCTTTTTCTTGCCAGGTTGTACGTTCCTGTTGTACTCATCCACCAGTGACAGGAACTCACTCATGCTCTGCCGTCGGTCCTCAGCTGACTTCTTATGGAGACGGATGCCGTCCAGCTTGTCTACAGGACAAACACATCATGGAGAAAAGAAAGGGATGAAAATGGGTCTCCTTCCTAAGTCATTGGGGTGCTCCTTGTAGTCTACCTTTTACAAGTATCGCTATGAATCATTAGAACATTAAGATGCCATGAATACATAAAAACTAAAAGGATTACAAATGTAACAGTGATAAATGTCAAGGAATACTAAGGCACAGAAAAGAATAGAGCACAGTTTCAGACACTGTGGTTTCTGCCTATCACCTAGATTCATGCATGTATGTTGTCCAAATAATACTTTTGAACATAGTCTTTTTTTCTGGTACAGACTTATTTGAAGACATTTTAATGGAATGAATATGAAATCCTCAATGTACAATACCTGAAACAGTTAATGTACAAGCAAAAAATAGCTCTAACACAAGGAATGTCAAACTTTCAGGCTATTTTTCCCTCCAATGTTCTGGAGGCAAAAATACCCTGTAACTTCTTAAAGTACATGGCAGCAGGTAAGCATGGCAAAAGCACCCCTTTACTCAGGAGGCAAAAAAATAAAATATGGGTCTGTTGAACCCTTTTAAAAATCCCAAATTGTCCAAATAAGGGGAAAGGAATGCTTTTGGCTGTTCTAGGAAGACTCCAGCTACAATGTCCCAGCTGTAGCAGTTGGTGCACAACCTCCTTATTGCCTATATAGAATGTGCACGCCCCAATCATTCAGGACCAACTATCACACAACTCTAATCACTGCTAGACTAAGCAACAATTGGAGCTGCAATATCATAAACTGTGTAAACAGCATTGTTCGGAAATCGTATTATGCACTTGCAATCTCATTGTCATGTCAAAAATCACAAAGTATGCATAGACTCTACATATACATACTTGCTACATTAAACCATTTGTTTGTCACACAACTCTAATCACAGCTGCTCTCAGCTCTGATTCCAGTTGTTAACACTTATTACGTACAAAGCAATACTTGGATCTTTACACATTGTACATCATAAATGCTTCACCTAGTTTGGTTTCTTGCAAGAAAAAGGTCTCCATAACCTATCATGTACAGGGTATCTCTAATCCCTGCTGTACTCAGCAACAATTGGAGATACAACAAACTTGAAGAGACACAATGCTACAGGTAGATTTTCATACTAGTATATGTTTAGATGTGACAACTATCACAATGCAAAAATAGGTGTAAACACATAAAAGATTGCTTTGTTATGATACCAAAACCCATGGTTAGCCCAAACTTTAACAATATATTACAGATTTACTAATATGTTAGCCCTTATTGTTCAATAAGTAGAATGTTAAGATTTATTCTGCATTTCTATTTTGTACTTTGTGTATGACCTGACAAAACTCACTGTAGTTGCACTAATACATACATCTACAGATCTAGAGAGGCTCTCTCTACTGGTATTTACACACTGTACTTGATATCTTAAGTCACAAGCTTTGCCACAACACCGTTGCGTGCACAGTAACACAGGTGGTGCCAATGTGTGCAAATCCCTTGGTAGCTTTTCTGGGTTAATTTCTCGTGTCGCACATTCTGAAAACATTTGTGTGATACTTTGAAGTTTGGTTTGTTGATACTCAGTTTAAGTTAATGATACATTATTACGCATACTTACAATATTTGTGTGAGTAGTCACATAGGTTTCTGTAAATCAGTACCATTCTACGAACCTCTGACTTTTGGTTTTGTGTGTACACTAATGAAGACCAGATCTCTCTCCCACCCTCCAAAAAACTGTTCCAAGATACAATTGAGTGGAAGAAACATAGCTAGTATACTTTTGTAAATTCCTACACTCTACAGTCAAGCTCACTTACTTACTTACCTCCTTAGTCAAGACTACTGGGTTATTATAACATTGACAGACTACCCAGTTGTCTTGCTCAACTCAAATCTTTCTCATTACATAACATGCAAAACAAGTGAACCTGGTACAGCTGTGGAATAAGAGAATTCACCTGAAAATCAGCTGAATAATCTGTGCTTCCACAAGCTGCCAAAGGGTTCACCCCAGAGTTTTCCCTGAACAATGAGAAATGTCCAGGTAAAGGGAAGATATGAATACAAGACATTTGCTTTTTGAACCTTGACCTCTCACTGGACCACTAAGGCTAACAATACCAAGTCTAAATAGAGAAAAATCAATCAATCAATGGATCCATCAATGGATCCATTGATTGATTGATTATAGGAGAAGCCTGCAACTTGACCTACTACTGGACCTGTAGGCCAGAAGGGCTTTTAGGACTAAATAAGACTATTGACTGATTCAGTTGTTGACTGATGGATTCACTGGTTGGTTGATTGATTGATTTAAGGAGGAACCTTACCTAGCTGTTGCTCAGAAGTGTCCATCTCCCAGCGACTTTTGGTGTAGAAGCCCTGCTTGAAGTGGGAGCGCAGGAGTGCAAAAGTTAGACAGAACAAAACGCTTGAACAAATCCTGACAGAGACTTCAACAGAGCACAGGTCAGGTCCTTAAGATGCCAGAAGCTGAAAATACAAGTTCTGTAAAGGCATGTCAATGCAGATCAAACAACAGACGCCAGTTAGATGGATTTCAGACAGTATCACGTTCTGTGCACACCCTGCAACCGACCCTGGAGGGAGGCAAATCAATGATTATCAAATCAATGTTTTTGTCACAATCTAGTGTAGGAGGCAACACAAAACCCATCACCCTTCTTTGTTAGTTTGAGTAATATACAGAATCAAACCTCGTGTATGCCAAATTACCGTATATTGCTTGCATTAACAACCATAGTAGATTATGTTTTTCTGCATGTAACACTTCCTAAGTTTTTAGTATAATCTTACTTAACAGCTTATCTTTCATTTATAGTATTATACTTAACATTCAACCTCAATATATATCAGATGTCAGTTTCTGAAACAATGCAGAAAATTTCGCTGCTTAAAATGGGGGGCACTCATGTGCATGAACGTCTAGTAATACATAACATTAACCAATGATTATCCTTCATTCCTTCAATGTGACGTTAGCAGACATGTGTACTCTTATTCACTGCTATGTTTTCTTTTTTGAGTGGCTGGAAAAAGAAGTTCTCTTAGACATTTTGCATTCCTACAGTGCCAAGTACACATGCCAGACTTACCTTTTCTCTCCATCTGGCTCCATGTGTTCTACAGACCAAACCCAAACTCACAGAGGAGAATGTTTAAAAAGGTGCCAGGTGGATTAGCAGGGAAAGAACATCTTCCTTTTTTACCCTTTGGTGTCCTAAGACCAAAGTCCACCGGCTTGTACAACTGTCTTACCAAGGCCCATTAGGTGCCTTTATGTGCCAGTAATTAGTCCTCTAATCGAGTAGGCGTGACTTGGGAAACATGCAGGGTCTTTGTTTCTGCTCTGGATAGATAGACACAAGATGGGTGACCTTCAAATTGCACTTCTCAATCACTTCAAGGTCATCAAGATGATTTAGAAAACTCTGGAAACGATGAACACTGAGGAAGATACAAGCCAGTCTCTATCCACATTATGTTGTAAAGCAACGTCTGTATCACTTCAATCATCCAACCTGACATGTGGATGTATGTCTAGTGACCATTATAATAAGCTGAAGTTGCAAAGTAGGTACTTCAAAGCAAGATTTCACAAAAAGCCTCATCACATCTACTTGAATAAACTTTAAAATTTTCGCCTTGACATTGGTAAGCTACATTGTAAAACCACTTACCTCTATCTGCACTAAGTAAGGAATCTCTTCTTTTCAAACCATACGAATCAGGAAAAAAATTGATTGTTTACCTTTCAATATTTGTTCACTTAGAAGTAACTACAACTTCTAGCAATTCGTTTGGTCCTTCTTCAAGATATCAAAGCTGACTTGCAGTGAGCCCAGCGTGTAAATTCACCCCACCTAGCAGCACTGCAAAGAACTGCATGAAAAGCACATGTAAGGAGCCTGAGAGTCCTTACAACTGCATACAGCATATAAATCATCAACCAGTGCTGAAAACTACCTAATGAAGCTTGACTGCCAGGTATGCAGTTCACTACACCACAGGTGGATAAGTTTTACCAAAAAAGAGGATTCTAAACAAATTGCCTTGCAAACAATGGTATCAATGAGAGTGGCATTGTTTCATAATACAATGGTGTCAATGACATTCTGTCATACAATAATGGTATCACTATCAATGGTACATTATTACACGAGGGCTTAGGCAATGGTATCTATAACAACTCATTGTTCCTTAATGCTGTTGACACTAAGAGCTATGAAGACAGTATAAAGCAACAGTAAAGGGAATTCAAAACAGACACTGGCTCCTCCTTACATACTGCTTTTTCTGACCTCTGAGGGGACAACACTACTTCTCATCTCTCAGTTAAGTCCTATATGATGCTCACCATGACCTTTTAGTCTACAAGACTGCTTATGGAAAGTATGGATTTAGCCTAAAGGCAGACCAGCCCTATGTATGAACATATGGGAAATAGGAATGCATCTCAATTCAATCCCAATCAGCATACATTAAAGCAGGATACACTGGTCTTTACAAGAAAGGCTGACTAAAAGGACAATACAAAAATACCTCCACAGGTGCAACAAACACCTGTCCCGTTTGAAGGACTGTCGAGTTTTCCTTCTAAACCAATCAGGTTGATTAAAGGACAAGCCAGAACTCTCAAAATATAGGTCTTGAGGCAGGTTCCTAAGGAGAGGAGCACAAAAGCAACTTCATCATCAGGCAAGGTAAGTCATAAAATGTGTGTGTGTGATCTAGTAACATCTGTCTAATGGTGAAGCTGGGCGCCACATACTGGTGGCAAGGTGGGCTTGTGGTTAGGGCTGTTGCTGTCAAATATAAAGGTTCTGGGTACGATTCTGGCCTCTAATCCCTAACAGGCCCCTATGCTGTGCCCTTGGGAGAGGTGCCTATTTCCTCACTTGACTCCTGTGAAAATGAGTACCTAGCTTTGGTTAGGGACATCTCTTGGATGGGATGTAAAGCCAGAGGCTCACATCAGATGTAAGGCGTCTACTCACCACACCTGCCACACTTCTTGCTGCATGCTGCCATCTTTGGAGAAATGACCCACTTACCTGGTATTAAGGCTGTGTGAAGAAGACTGGGTTAAGGAAAAACTGTGTTTGTGTGTTTGCTCGTTTGTTTGTACATACCCCCTCCTCCACATCTTCCTCCTCTTCTGGACCCTTCCCCTCCGTGCCCTGGGATGAGTCCTGGCTGTCATCAAAGTCTTCCATCTCCACCTGTAACACACAGGTGAGGGGATCACTATAAGGACACGTGCTGACTACGGTAAATCTCATTCACATCAAGTGGCACAGCCTGTACTGATGTAACACACCAGTTTCTCCAGTATGCAGTTATGGTTCCTTCTGCTGCTAAATATATGACTGAGTTTTTAAAGAATCCCTGGTTTCCTTTTCTCCGGCATCATAACATACATAACTTTAAAGATACTTTAAAAAAAATCAGTTTGGTTTTCTTAATTCCTTATTTCCTGACCAGTACTGTTATACCTGTGCTCTTGACCAACTCGACCATAAGGATCACCTGGCCATATAAGGATCACCTGGCCATTGTGGCCACTTCCTGGTCACCCCTTCGATTATTTTTTCCATTGACCCAAGTTTCAATGAGAATTCTGTCTACTGTAACCATCTTCTTCAAGTTTCTCAAGTGTTGACTACAGACAGTTGTGACTGTATTTCCTGTACCTCTGTAATAGCCGCTTCCTGTAGGAGCATCCGCACATCCATCCTGGTCATGTGACGTGGTGCCGACTCCCATCTGTCCAGGATCTGTACAACAAACAACACTTTCACTACTCACACTTGTTCAATAAGACAATAACACTTTCACTGCTCAATTTTCTTTGCTGCATGAAAAGCAAAAAACAGTTTTACTAATCCCACTTGTCTAGTTTGAAATGTAGTTATACATTAGCAACAACACGCTAATCATTTTGACAGGATAGGGATGATCACACAAGTACATTTTTGTACATCTCTAACCTTTGTGATGTCTTTCAGTGTCCTTTTGTGTGTGTTCTTCCTGGCACAGGCATGTGGTTCAGCAGTCAACTCAACTATGTACACCTGCAGCAAGGGAAAAGGAGTTTTTTTTCCAGTCTTTCGAGTTATCAGTTGAAAAATTCTGTACAACAGTAGTAATGCAATAGAAATACATATTCCCACTAGCATAACTTCATGGTGGACAAGTCACTGTAAAAATAAAACTACTGCAAACATTTCAAGACTTCCAGTACTACAGACACACACCTCAAACCCCTTGCTCTTGGCGGCGCTCCAGAAGGGCTGGAAGTGTTTGACCTTGTCGTTGACGGCGTCCACGATCATGAAGGGGAAGAACCCGTTGTCCAAGTTCTTCTTAAAGGCCTTGAGCATGCTGGCTCGGTAAGTCTCCTCCATCTCTGGCTCATACTCATACTCTAGTACCTGTGGGGAAAAAGGAAATGCATCTTCACCTTCATGTGTCTATCTGTCTGTGTGTGCAGCTGTCCATCAGTCTGTGTGTTTGTGTGATGTCTGTGTGTGCAGCTGTCCATCAATCTGTGTGTTTGTTTGTGTGTGTGTTTTTTCTGTGATTTGCAACACACACTATGCAGCATTGCCACACATCTTCAGTGCTGATATTCTGCCTTTCACACAAGACTGTTTATCCTTCATCCTCACTACTTCAGGCAGCAGCCAATCAGCACTAAGGACCCACCTTGGTCTTGACCCTTCTGCCCGTCTCAGGGTCTTTCTCTGTCTTTTCAACTTCCGTCATGAAGTAGTCGTCTAAGGAAAATATACGTGGTGCGCTGGCGCCGGCTTCTGTCTCCTTCTCCTGCAAAGTAGCACGTTAGACAGATGATATCAGCTCTTGACAGGTTATTTGTGTGATGTTGAAACTATGGCTTACTAATTGTTATACAAAAATTACATTAACTACAAGCAGTGGGGGAGGTCATCGTAAAAAGACAATGTGGAAAGGTATCCTTACTTTGATAAGTCTTGCAACATGGGTTTTGCCACACCCGGGAGGACCTCGAAGGATTGCAACAAGCTGAAACATGAAGCCCACATCATTCAGTAAATCTCATACTTACACAAATATAGGAGAACCACAACTTGAGTACATGTACATTAAAAAAACCATATAAACAAAGAGTAGGAGTTTGTCCAGGTGCGAGCAGATTGCAGTTTGGTCTCTGGTTTGACATCTTACAAAGCCATCTTTTATGTCCATCCTTCTACAGATGTGGTAAATCTCAATAAATCCATTGAGCTAATTAGCACAATTAGCTAAAAAAACTGAGCTAATTACAAATCCAAATAAAGTCAAAGGCGGAGTCCAATGTTACCTGTTTGGGTCTGTTCTTGCGGCCCGGCTCCTTCAGGATGTCCTCAGCTGACACAGTCTCAGGTTTGGGCTCCTCCGCTGGCTGCTGGGGAGGGGCCGTGTACGGGTCTCGCACGTCGTAGGGCCCAGGGGGAGGGGGGCCGCCACCACTGTACGCTGCTCTGTCATCATAGGGCGGTCGGTCAAAGTAGTAGTCCCTCTCACGTGCGTAGGGGTCTCGGTCTCTCTCATAACGTGACGTGGATGGAGGAGGGAACCTATGTAAACTAGATGTTAAGATCATGGCATGTTTCTTATCTAGATTACCACAGGTTGCTGTACATCAGACAAGCTTTCTGTGTGGCAATCTCTTAACAAAGAACAGGATGACCTACATGCAAAAGAGCCTGGCCTGAGAGGCTTCATGCAGCAAAAAGCCACAAGCTCCTACAAGACTTGGGGCTTAGCCTTTTTAAGACGTGCAGATAGTGCCTGTGGAAGGGGAGGAAGAACTTACGTGGACTGAGAAAGTGAGGTTCCTTGAGAAGGGGAGTCAGTCTCCTGAGGAGGACTGCGGATAGAAGGAGGTAGTAGATAGCAGCTACATACATGTAGATAGCAGCTACATACATGTAAACAGCAGGTACATATAGATAGCAGCTACATACACAAAGATTGCCAGTAGATAGCAGCTACATACATGTAGACTGACAGTAGATACATACATGTAGATCAACATGTATACTGTCAGGCCTTGAAATTCCACCTGCGTATGCAGGTTAATACAGGTAAAATATGATGCCTTCGTGATTTTGAAAGCCATCTTTATGCAGGTACCGGTATGCAGAAAAATGCATTTCGAGCCCTTGTACTAAGTTGTAGTCCATGTAGGAGACACATACACGCTTGTGTAATGAATATTACTTCATATTGCAGCTGACAGAAAAGCTGTCAAAGCATAATTCTTTTGAGATAGTTTAGGGTGCAATACAGCTGCTGCATGGATCATCTAGATAAGTAGGAAATAACTACTACCTTTCCAAATTGACAGTGACCTGTGTGTAATGCTACTCAGCTCACTTGCCACAAGCCTGACTACATCCCGCATCAGGAGGCCTAGTCAGCCCCACAGCGGTAGATTGTGTAACACAAACCCACCTGTCCCTGTCTCTCTCCCTGTCGCGGTTGTAGTCTCGGTACAGCGATGATGACTCGGGATATAACCTCTCCCTGTCAGGGTCACGGTCACGGTCCCTCCCCACCCGGTACCGGTCAAGCTCATCCACCTCCCTCCGACGTGACCTGTCATCCAATCCTACGGGGAGATCAAGTTAGCACTTTATGTCTGTTTCTATGTCTGTTTGATTTGCATGACCACTATCGGTAATCCACCAAAATGGCCCATATTCTGTACTATGGTAAAGAAAATTTTCAAGCATCAAAATTACACGGAAATCTCTCTAACTCTTGCAAAAAATTGAATGCATTTGATCCAATGTGTTATGACGATCAACGGTCCAAGCAGAAAGGAATACCTTCTACAGTTCTATAATGATTATTACAATTTCTGATCAACAATCAAGACATGATACCTCTGGCTCGATCTCGGTCATCCCTGGGCAGGTCCCTGTCACGTGCGCGGCTGGGTAAGTCTCCCTCCCTCACAAACTCCCTCTCTCTATCCCTGCTTCTCTCCCTCTCCCAGCTCCTGCCTCGTTCCCTCTCTCGTGAGACCTCCCTATCTCTGGGAAGCCTGACATCTTCAATGCTCCGGCCGTGCCTGGCGTCTTCCTGCCCCATCCTATCCCTGGATCTCTCCCGCGATCTCTCCCGCGGCACCCCCTCTAGCCCTCGACCAGACAACCTGTCCTCCTCAGCCTGACCGCCCAGGACGCCCCGTTCCCATAGAAACGTGTCCCTGACGACCTCACGGCCGAGGGGTGCATGCTGCCCGTGCCCGTAGTCTATCTCCTCCACCATGCCAGCCCTGGAGAACAGCCCCACCTGGCTGGTGGCAGGGGCCTCGGAGACGGGCGCTGTGGAGGCTGAGAGGAGGTGGCTGAAGGACTTACCCGCTGCCTCTGCAGGGGACGTGGTCAGCAGATGGCTGTAGCCTTTTCCTGGAGCTACACACACAACAGAGAAACTGTCATCTTTCAAACTGTCATCTTTCAAACCGTCATCTTTCAAACTGTCATATTTAGAACTATCTCCTACAAAAGCCGTTGTATTACCTTTTTCTCCATGCCCATAATCGATGGACTCCACCACCCTGCCAGCTAACCCCAGACTTTGGCTGTCTTCTCGAACTCCGGTTCTGGAATAAAGCACAAAGTTGGTTACATAAAATGGCATTTAGGGTAATTTCCAGAAAGCATAAAAACTACAAATATGATTGTTATTCTAAGATATAGAGGTGTATTCGGACAGTGCCATTTCCAGAGCCACACAGACCATTACAGAGGCCATACTCTTTCTCACAGGCACCAAGTGTTAAGCAGAGAAAACAGTCTGTACCATTTTTGACTCTATGCTATGTATGACCTGGTCATGGTTTGAGCCCAGACCTTCTGAATTCAAGATGATTCCTCTACCCCTTAGGTCATTGCCCCAGTTTTCCAGAGGTGATGGTGAAACCTATCTACATGTAATGAGAACATATTAGTGTCTAGATGTGACACATGACACAATCAGTTAAGAATCAAATAAACCACTTTGTAACCAACACTGTACCAAGGTTACTGCAATATCTTAAGACACCTGCTCACCTGTCCAACGTGTACTGATCATCTGAGTAGGTGTGTCGCTCGTACAGGTAAGTGTCCTCCACCCCTGGAGGTTTGGGCTCCCTGTCTCGTTCCAGACGACTCCTGGCAAACTCGTCACTGCCATGCCCGTAGACCTCTGCTCTCCTGTAGTCGTCTGTCCATCCATACTCCTCCCCTCGTCTGAGGGGTTCTTCCCTTCTGTACCTCTCCCCTGGCCTGTCATCCTGTGGACAATGGTGATGGCACACCTAGTTACATGACTGCCCCATGGCCAATGGAGTGATGTATTTTTCAAGGTGTCTGTGTATGCTGCAGATTGGTGAACCTTGTTGGAGTGTATGTGTATGTGTGTATGCAGTATTGCCTAGTTACTGTATCCATCTATATTTGTTTACAGCAAGCTTTGCCAAAAAGCTGGTTCATGACAATTTGAGTTCAACAAGACACAGACAAACAAACAGACGCCAAGTGGGAACCAAACATGCCTCATAGTACGCAGTTTCTCTCCGGTAGTCCTCCCTGTAGTCGTCCTTTCTGCTGTAGTACGGGTCCTGGTAGGGATCGTCGTATTCATGGTCTTCATCATACGCCTGCTGACGCCCTCGGTAACGGTCCCTGCCATACAGGTCTCTACTCTCCTCCTGGTAATAGTCTTCATCCTGCTGCAGAGAGAAGAGTGTTGTTTTATCAAATATCCATTACATTAGAACATATCTAATTCTGGATTCTATCTATGTACATTGTACATGTATATGATTACAATACATACACAGTAGGACTTACAACTACAGAACAGCAAACATTACAAATACAAAAGAACATATAGGAGGTCAGGCCAAGAGACCAATTCTAGGCTTGGAACTAAGTTCAAGTTACTAAAATACCATCTCTTCCCTCTATATCAAACGCAGCAATTCCTTTTCCCATTTAGATTTGATCACAATAGTTTTAATCCCCTCACACTGGGAAGAATCCTTACTTCATTAAATGCTTCACTGAAAATTAGAAATCCCTTCAGAATTGATGGAATGTTTCCTACTGTTACCTGTTAAGGAACACATCTGAGTAGAAATCATAATAGAGAAAAGGACTTACATAGCCACTGTATGGTGGTTCTCCATAGTCGGCTTCCTCCTCTCTGTAGCTCTTGTACCTCTCCTCGTACCCAAACCTGGCCTGGTCTGGCCCACTGTGGCCCCTCCTGGCCCCCTCCGGCCCGCCCAAGTCTCTGCCGTGGTTGGATCCCCTGCTGGAATGGCTGGCCCTCTCTGACTCTAACTCCATGTCCTGCTCTGCTCCAGGGTCCTGGCCTTCTGTTTCATGGCCCAGGCTGGGTTCTGCCCCTCTTGCTGCATCTTTACCCCTGCCTACCCCCCCTTCTCTGGAAAGGTGTGCAGGTCCCTTGCTGTCTTTAGCCTCCATACTTGGCTCTGCCCCTTCACCCTTTCCCCGTCCCATGTTGGGTTCGAGGCCTCGACCCCTGCCCCTGCCTGCCCCAGGCCTCAGGTGCTCGGACATGGCAGCGGTGACTTTCTGCAGTGCGGAGATTTCCTCCAGCCTTCTCAGCTGCTCCTGCGCCTCCCTAATCATCTTAAGATCCTCGGCTGCTTTCACCAACAGGTCAGCTTCACGCTGAGAAAACTTGGGCATGCCAGATTGTGCTTTGTCTTCCTCATTGCTTCCTGTTCCCTTTTCAGGCATTTTTGATGCGGCCTTATCCCTACCCTTCACAGGTGGTGTCTGTACTGCACCTGAGACAGTTGATGTGGACATGGAAGCTGCTGTTTGAGAACCACTGGGCTGAGGGGCAGAGGTTTTAACTACACTTGGCTGAGAAGTAGGCTTCTCTGCTTCGGGTGCCTTCTTGTCGACTGGTTTTGCTGGAGAGGGATCCGGAGGTTTTGAAGAAGGCTGACCAGTTGATGCCTTGCTGTCCTTCTTTGCCACTTCTGGTTTCTTTCCCTGCTCAGTTTTGGGGTCAGGACCCTTCTTGTCACCTTCGCCCTTGTCTGGCTGAGATTTTGTTTCCTCTGCTTTGCTGCGGTTTGCGCGCAGGTCCACATCTTTAGGCCCATCTTGAGCAGAAGTTAGTTTTGGCTCCTCATCCTGGGTAGTGGTGCCTGGGCCCACAGGCCTGGGGCCTTGGTTGGGAACCATTCCTCTGGGGCCTTCCATTCCCATGCCCCTGGGCCCAAACCCTTCCTGGTTCCTGGGGTCAAATCTTGGTCTGCCCATCTCGTTGAGGCCTCCTCTTGGGCCAAATCTCATCTCTTCAGTCTGATCAAAGCCCCGTCCTCTTGGTCCAAATCTTGGGCCCTCATTCTGGCCTCTTGGACCAAATCTTGGGCTTTCAGACTGGTCAAAACCTCTACCTCTGGGACCAAATCTTGGCCCTCCAGTCTGGTCAAGCCCTCTTCCCCTTGGACCGAATCTTGGGCTCTCCAACTGGTCAAAACCCCTGCCTCTTGGACCAAATCTTTGCCCTTCTGTCTGGTTAAAACCTCCTCTAGGACCAAAGCGTGGTCCACCCTCCATCTGGTTAAACCCTCGCCCTCTTGGGCCAAATCTCTGGCCCTCAGCCTGGCCAAACCCAGGTCCCCTCGGCCTCTGCATTGGTGACTGTCCTCGGGGTCCAAACGTCATGCCCTGATTTTGTCTGAAGTCCTCGTCCATGCCCAGAGGTTGTTCAGGTATTTGACTCTTCTCAGTTTCTTCTCCCATTTCTTGGCTGGCCGCCTGGCCTGTGCCTGGACTGTCTCCCAGTAAGGAGGGGAGTCTCTTCCCATTTCCCTCCAGCCCACCCTCGCTCTGTTCTGACAAACCGCGGCCTCTCCCCAGTCCGAAATCCCCTTGCTCCTGTCCATACCCTCCGCCCATCCCTTGGTTATCCTGCTGGAATCCCCGGCCCATCCCAGGACCTCTGCCCTGGTTGTTGCCAAAGCTACGGCCCAGTCCTGGTCCTTGGTTTGGGCCACCGAATCCTCTACCCATGCCTGGCCGCTGCCCAGGGCCACCAAAGCCTTGGCTTGCATCGTGCCCTTGTCCTTGCCCACCAAAGCCACGGCCCATCCCTGGTCCTTGGCCACTAAAACCCCGTCCCCTTCCAGGCCCCTGTCCTGGGCCAACAAAACCACGGCCCATACCTGGCCCTTGCCCTGGGCCACCAAAGCCTCGACCCATGCCTTGTCCTTGTCCTGGACCACTAAAGCCACGGCCTGTACCTTGATTACTACCATAATCTTGGCTCATATCTCCCCCTTGTGTTATATCCTGGTTACTGCCAAATCCCTGGCTTTCACTATTGTCACAGGCTCCCAGATCCTCTTTACTGCCAGGCCCTGAGAGGTGGCCTGGGCCCTGACTATCTCCGCCTTGACCCATCCCTCTGCCGAGGTCCTGTCTGAAGCCCCTCCCCCTGCCCATGGGTCCTCCACTCTGTTCCACACCTCCTGGCCCTGGTTGCTGCTCTTGTCTTTGGCCGAACATGCTTCCTCTCCCAGCTGACCCATAGTCGTCCAGCAATGGCCACGGTCCTCTGAACCCAGGCTGCTGCTGGCCCGCCCGTGGCCCAAACCTGGGTCTGTTCAGCTCCATGGGTCCTCTACCTCTGAACTGGGGGCCAGTTGAGGAGCCATCAAACCCCGGGGTTCTCGGGCCACCAAACCGTGGCCCACGTGGCCCGTCAAATCTTGGCCCCCTGGGAGGGAAACCCTGGTTGGTACCCGACCCTTGCATGGGTCCAGCCTGGCTGTAAGGGGTGTTCTGCATGCCTGCAGTCTGGCTGTGGGGAGGGCCAGACATGGAGCCAGCTTGGTTAGACATGGTTCCAGTCTGATTATAGGGAGGTCCAGACTGGCTGAAGCTGGGCCCAGACATGGTGGCAGCCTGGCTATAGGGTGCTTGGCTGAAGGCTGCACCTGAGCTGACAGGTTGTTGTTGTTGTTGTTGGGCCATGTTCTTGGCTCTCTGGAGCTGCTCCTTCTGTGCTGCCCACATCTGCTCCATCTGCTGCTGCCACTGCTTCCACTGCTGCTCGTACTGCAGGAACTGTTCCTACAGGAAAACAGCAATCAATCAATTAACCAATTGCTTCAACTGCTGCAATCAATCAACCAATCAATCAATCAATCAATCATGATCTGGACTTATTTTTCTGTACTATCCAATTTGATTTTAAGTCTCCACAGCATGCTGTTCCAAAGATCACCTAACTTCATGCTGCAAACCTCCCTGCCCCTTCCTTACCTGATTGGGATGGTTCTTGTGCTGTTCCTTCCAGTCCTCAAACTGTTTCTGCCATTGCTCATACTGCTTCTGGAACTGTTCAGCCTGACGCTCCACCTCCGCGTTCATCTGGTCAGGGGTCATCTGCTGCATGGCATGCTGGGACACACAGGGACACAGAATTAACACATCCGTGTGGAGTATAGCAGGGCTCAAAATACATATATGTGCTTTTTTGCAACAAAAATTGGAGCTGTGTACCTAATTTTTGACTGGAGGTACACCTACATACATGTATATTATTTGGTTAAGGTTACAAACACTTTTCAGGATTGTATGAATTATTTGTTTAGAAATTACATTCAAGCTCTGAAGTGAAGAGACATTAATGATCATAATATATTGGGTTTTAAAACATATAAAATTGCACGTGCACGAATGGTACTTGATGAATAGACAGTAATTTGGAATCCTTACTTACAATGCGATTATAAAAACTGAGGATTTTGAAGCCATCAGCAGCTGCATTGAACATTTTAAAACTATCACCTAACCCAGTCTAAGCCTGACCTGCTGCTGCATGTTCTGTTGTTGCTGCATGATCCAGGCCTGCTGCTGCTGCATGGTCTGCTGCATCATGCTATACTGGTACTCCTGCCACTGTTTCATGGCCTGCCACTGACGGGCCTGCTCTGCCAGCTGGTTCATTTTCGCAGCCTCCGCAGAGTTGGCTGCACCAGGCTAGAAAATACAGAAATACAGCCTTATAAAACACAAGGTATTCGTGCATCAGTTCAAGTTTTACTGATGGAATCGTGTTGTCTATACTTTTGCTACACTGGAGGACAACACTAAGAACATGACTGGACAAAGTGCTGTACAACAAAAGTAACAGATAAGCATGAATGAGAAGTTAGTATAATATTTTGAATGAGAAAACTTAATGTATCATTTGATCCCTGCCACTTCCAACAAGATTGACAAGAGCTCATTTGTCAGAAAGGCCTTTGTCCATAACAATTTACAGGTAGATCTACACTCACTTGCATAGGTTGATTCAGAAATAATTTAGCAAGGGCCTTTTGGCTTTATAATATATATTATTTGTTTTCATAAGGGCTCTATGAGGTGCTTTGTTCTGCAGTTCTTTCTGAAACCCTAATTTCTCCAATATGCACGTTAAAGTTTAGAGCCACACGTACCTGTGTAGCATTACCAGGCAAGGGTGGGTTGTCTTGCGGCGGTGGCTCGCTCGGCAAGGGGGGCTTTTCACCCGTCTCTGACGGCAGAGGGGGGTTCTGGCCCCCCGCACTAGACGTGGGCACAGTAGACGAAGAAGACGCCGGTGGAGGATTATTCTGCTGGTTTTGCTGCAAGGCGTAGTAGTGTTGCCAGTAGAGCTGCTGCTGGTAGGCGTTCATCTGGGACTGGTGCTGTAAGGACTGCATGTCCTGCTGGGAGCCGTACGGCTGCTGATTCCAGGACGGATACATCTTGCAAACTCTTTCTCTGGGTCGACAAACGCACGTTCTTCTTTTCTTTCTTGGCTCGAAGTACGACTCACTTCCTGCTCAGATTTCAATCAAACTACAAGACGAAAAAAGGCCACGGCTACCGGCCACTTTCCTTGGTTAAGTTCCTGTCAGACCATTGTATGTGATATACTTAGAAGACGTAGAAAAGGCGAGGATTTCACCTTTCTCACCTGATTATAAAATTCATAGACGCCACATGATTACGACGGCAGCCATTATGCCCGGAGCATTGTGGGATTCCGAGGTGCATTACTTGAATGTTCCGCTAGGGGTCCGAATTCTCATCTCTCACTACTACTAGCACTGCTCTTCAAGCAGATAAGGCCACACCAAGTAAATTCTATGGATGACGTCCTTTGGAGACCCTAAATCTAATGCAAGAGGGCGAAAAAAACAACAAGAAGGGCCCTAAAAAACAAGATGCCTAGATTAGAAATATACTAAGAGACGACAAATGTTAGGACACAAATTGAATGAGGTGACACAGTGTAACAAGCAAGAAGTCTTTTATTCATCATCAAAACAGAAATCAGGTGGAACAGCAGTTGTCGTCCTGTCCTGTTTCTTTCATCACATTTTTGCAGGCCTGCAGAAACAAAGCATGTGCTCGTGGCTGCTCTTTACCCATTTCGCATTACGGGTTTCACGTCAATCTAACGATTTGCGGCACTGTTGTGACTCTTTGGTCATAGTTAGGCCATGTTGATTTGATTATATGGATGACATCCGCTCGCGCATGAATTTTCGGCCGTTTCCAAAAAAAAAGTTTTCAACCCTACTGTAAATCGTATAAAACAGTTGCAAAATGAGCAAAAATATACCATAAGTTACAAAAAATAATAAAAACTATACCAATGTCGTAGAAAGCCAAAATCAAACGAAAAAAGACGAAATTGTAAAGAAATGAACTTGAAGACTAGATTATTCGCCAAACCATATTCTGTGCCATTTGCTCAACCCTCATGACCACGTAGATTTCATAATGAAAATAACTTTTTTTTGTCAAAACTTTTTTTTTATTCGCACGCGCGCATCAGTTTTGGGGCTCCCGGAGGATGTCATCCATATAATCAAATCAACATGGCCTTACAGGAAGCGGAATTTCTTGTTTTTTTCTAGGAACAGGCCAAAATCAATGCGCGCGCGGACGTCATCCATAAAATTTACTTGGTGTGGCCTAATATATGGAGAAGAATCATATCGTTTAGTAAAGGTTCCTCTTCTCTTGGTACCCGCTTTCTGATGGATCACTCCTTCGAGGAGAGCGTAGGTGTTCAGAACTCATTTTGAATCAAATGTGTCTTGGTAGTTAGCGTTCTCGTTCTGCAGCGTTCTCGTTC